CACTGCTTTGGGAAGGTTTCCAGGTCCTCTCAACAGAGCTCTTTGTCCCCAACTGTGTCACCTTCCCTTCTTGGCTTTGCAAGCTGCCTTGTCACAAAGGAGCACGGCTGTCATGGTTGTTCACAGATCAACATCCACTCTTTGATGTTAGCTGGGGTTTGAGCCACGAGCTGCATTGAAAATGAGGACCATGACCTCAAGCTGCCACAAGCACCTGCCCAACACCAAGTGGGGGAGTCTGAACCCAACTCTGATGTCCTTGCAGCACCCTAAACTGAGAGCAAGTGCCCAGTCTCTGTAGCAGTGGCAGTTTGTGCATCAGCTGAGTAATTGGGTATTTCCATGTAGGCTAATCTGGAGCAAGATCACAAAGGAGACCCTGTAAAAGCTGCCCAAGTGTTGCTTCCATGGCTTGGACATGAACCCTGAGGGGTGGATCTGCCTGTCCCACTGTGATGGAGTCAGGCAGTGGGAGAGGGACCCTGGTGCTGTTTGTCCCAGGGTCCTTTTGCTGCCTTTGTGCACAGCAGGCTTTTCATCATGTGGCACGTTGTGGCCATGAGGCTCAAGCAATTGATGTGGGTAAGATGGGCAACACACCCCATGGGCATCCTTGGCCATGTGGGCAGAGGTTTGTGCTTCACCTCATGCTCGTGATAGAGGTTTACCAGGGGGTGAAGGGGCACCCATTTATAGGCTTTGTCCATGTCTGCCAGGGTGTTTCTTTTTCGGCACATACTTTGTGTGTGATGAAGATCTTGGTGCATAACTAAGCACCAGAAGCTTTATGGGACACTTAATCCAAAAGCAGGTGGGAAACCCCATCTCTAACCCCATCCCCAGCTACATCACCCCATAGACTCATAGGAAATAGATCTGGAAAGGAATGGTTTACCCTTTAGTGTTTACCAGGCAGTGGCTGAGAACTCAGCAAAGGCCCCAGCATCTCTTGCAAAGCTCCCCTGGATCCAGTTTCTAGTTGGTTGTGCCATTTTCATGTCCATGCCCTTAGTAGGGCAGTGCCAGGACCCCCCACTGCACCCATTCAGCCTGGATCCACCAAGAAACTGTGAACATCACCTTGCCTGTGACCAGCGAAGAGGGAGGTTGTATTAGTTGGGGTGTAGGTGCTGTGGATACCACTGTGCTCCATGAGCATCAGGCCCAAAGGCACCTTGTTCCTGCCTGACCCTTCAGGACCATTGTGAAGAGCAGGCTTAGGCTGGCGATGGGATGCACTGGTGCTGGGAACTGGTGCATCCCCTCTCCATCAGCTCTGTTATTGATGATTTGAAGGTATTATTATTCCAGCACCTCGATCTGAACAAAATGAGCCTTGAATAAACATAATAGTAAACTCCGTTGTTCAGTGGTGCGATGCCTTGCCTTCAGCAGTCAATTCCCATAAGGAGGCATCTCTTCCCCAGCGTGCTGGATATAAACCTTCAATTTACATCTCCAGTTAAACAGCAGCTTCCAAGACTTCGGTCTCTGGTGACAATGAACAGAAACATCTCCCCCATTAAAAATGTCATCCTTTTTTGTTTTTTCCTGATGAGAAACTGTGCTGTGCAGGCGTTTTTATAGGCTCCCACAGAGGTGGCCGAGCTGCAGCATTAAATCTTTGCCACGTCAGGCTGAAAGCTCACTGGAGAGGATGCTTAAACACCATATCCATTCCCCTGCCATTAACAAACCCTCCCCTGCTGGATCACAAGGGGGAGATTAAACAGGGAGCGAGATGGTGGAGCGCAGCAGGAGGGTCCCCCCGCTGCTGTCACCCACTGCCTTCATGACCAGGAGCAAGTCGTTCTCTCTTTACACCCACAGCCTGGTTTTCTCCCCTCTATGAAATGATGAATGTGCTGGAGCAAGGGCTGTCTCCCTTCGGAGCAGAGCACCCGCTCCATGCGATCCCAGCACAGGAACACCAGTGTATTCCAAAAGCACATCATCCAGCAGTGCCTGGCCTCCCTCCCCTCACTGTGGGCAGTGTGAACACGAACAGAGCAAAAGTGTGGTGTTAAAATAACATTGCTTATTGCTGAAACAGAGGGAAAAAAACCCATAGTGCTGCACAATTAAAGGCTCTTATCCCCCTGAAACTCACCTAGCTTTATGGAGCACAGACAGCAGCCCGGCCACCCACTGCTCTGAGATTCCAGCAATCCAGGAGCACCTGGGGGTAGGGAAGTGAATTAAAGATGAAGTGGCAGCTGGAACTGGTTTAATGTCGGTTTTGGAGTTCTGTGCATTTGATCATATGTGCCATGCATGTGGTTATGTCCTTAAATTAGGTAGCAGCAGATAACACAGTGATCCTAATCTCCTTCCCACCCCATAGCTTGAAACCTGGCATTCCGCATCAGCCACGCAGCCCCGGCTTATCTGCTCTCCAGTGGCTTCCTCCGGAGCTCTCACCAGCGGCTCTCGTTATTTAGATGTTGCCAAGATTAGTGCAGATGGAAATGAGTGTCTGCTGGCAACCCGTGCTGCCTGCAAGGTGTGAGGCTGGAGATAGCCCCAGTGCTGGGGCTGGAGGCAAGCCCCTGCCATCTGCAAGCTGCAGATGCTCTCAGTGGGGTTATAAGGACAGGGGCAAGGTGGGGACAGCCAAGAGTGCCTCCAAAGACAGTGTCTGGAAGAGCAGCATTCCTGGGTGACTCCCAAGGGAAGAGTGCCTAACCCTGCAGGAGGATGTGTCTCACATTCCAGAGGTAAGAGCCTCTTGTCCAGGACCCGCTTCAGAGCACTGAGAAGCTACAAGGGCTTTTTCTTTTCCCCACATCTCACCTGGGATTCTGGCACTGGAGCAGTGCTGTGGCAGGACTGCAGCAAGGGCAGGACCTCCTTTAGTGGTCATAACAGGACACGTTCGTTGTGCCTGTCCCACTTGGGGTACCACGACATCCCAGGTGATCCTGTCCCATCACAAGGAGACTTTGGCAACGATTCAGCCTGGAGAAGAGAAGGCTCCTGAAGGGGAGACCTTAGAGCAGCTCCAGAGCCTAAAGGGGCTGCAGGAAACCTGGAGAGGGGCTTTGGACAAGGGGAATGACTTTAACCTGCTTGAGGGGAGACTGAGATGAGCTCTTAGGCAGAAGCTCTTCCCTGTGAGGGTGCTGAGGCGCTGGCACAGGGTGCCCAGAGAAGCTGTGGCTGCCCCATCCCTGGCAGTGTTCAAGGCCAGGTTGGACACAGGGGCTTGGAGCAAGCTGCTCTAGTGGAAGGGGTCCCTGCCTGTGGCAGGGGTTGGAGCTGGAGGAGCTTTAAGGTCCCTTCCAACCCAAACCAGGCTGGGATTCTGTGTAATGGAGAGACCTGCACTGGAGGGCACCAATTTGCTGCCCACCAGCTAAAGGCTACTTGAGCTCCAGGCAGGTGTGGGAGCTGTGCCCATCACCAGACCTTGTCTGTCCCTTCCCCAGCCAAAAGCAGCTCTCTCTCCAGCTGAAGGAGGGATGATCTTTCTCTCTCTCTGGCACAAAGGGTAGCAGGATTCTAGTATTTATGTATCGCTTTTCCCTGCTGGCATTTAATGGACGTTTTAGTAGCACAAATAGAAAGTGCTGCATATTCATCTTCCATGTCACAGGCATTGAGATGAAGAGGAGTGAAGGGAGAAGCGCCTCGGGCTCATTGTACCAATCTTGTCCTCAGCAGCAATCTCGAAGATGAAGAATAACTTAATTACCACATATCATTGTGTTTCCTTTATTTGCTCTTTGTTGCTCTCTGCCGATGCCTGGGCCCACACTCCGGCACATGAGCAGCAGCAGATCACTGCTTCATTAAAATGCCTGGTGGACTCCTGGTCCCTAAACCTCTTAGAGCTCCTGTGGAGGAGGAGAGGGGGGATAAAATACGGGCTGTATGTAGACAGATGAAGGAGTGAAACCCGTTGCACTGTCAGAGGTGTTGGCTTTGCAGAGCCTGAGATGCGGCTGGCCACTGCTCAGAGCATCTCAGATGAGAATAAGGAGCTCACATGTACATCTTGTCTTGTTCAATTTGCTTTGAGGAGTGTGGGCACTGGGTTCATCTGAATGAGGAAAAGAGCAAAGTGAAGCCAGGAGGAGGGTTTTTTTTTTCCCAACCCCAACTCAAATGTGGGATTTGGGGTTGCTCTGAGTGGGTTTTAATTCTGAGCTATGTGGCATGAGCACTTGGGAAGAACTTCTGCCCAAGATCTCACCTCAATCTCTCCTCTTGTCAGTTTGAAGCCTCTTTCAATGGGCTGGAGCATAGAGTTGGAGCCAGAGATCAACTCCAAACATCCCCCTTTCCTTCTACAACATGTCATTTTCTTTCTGTCCTTACAAGGGTAATAATTGCTATATTAATTCTCCTAAGTAAGTGCAAGGGAATGAGCTCTCTGCTGCCAGGTACCAGTGAGTTAAAGGAGGCAGCAAGCCGAGCAGAGCATCATTTATGCTTTTTGTCAGTGCCATTCCCTCTACGCATCTGGCTTGTTTTAGGTAAATGCATTTTGAACATGCAAGTAATGAAACCTTATCTTCATAGTTGTGTGATAAAAAAGAAACAGCTGTGCTAAATGTGCCCTCAGTGAAGAGTCTGCAACCAAGGCTCTGAGCAATAAACGTTAAATGGGATGACTCTGTGAGCCCCCAGTCTGCAGTGATTTGATCAGAAGGATGGGGCCTTGGTGAAATATTGGTCTCGTTTTGTAATGTGGAGCTAAACAAAGCAAACAGGTAAGAGAAGTCTGAACTCAGTGAGGCCAGAATGATGGACGAGGGGGCTTTGTGTCTTCCTTAGGGACCTCGGGCTCTGCGGAGTCTTCAGCTGGCGAGCAGGGAATGTGGGAAGAGATTAAGCAAATCAGATAGCAAGCTGCCCCTGGAGAGCTGCAGTCACGAGAACTGGAGCTCCTCTGGAGGAGGAACCTGGAGCAGCACGAGGTACCCAGAGGGCACACGAGCTCCTGCACGTGTGATGAGAGCCTGCTCCATCCCTCTGATGCTGCCCCTGTCCCACAGGCAAGGAGCGACCCACTGCTGCAACCGTCCTGCTCATGAGTGTGTGCGAGGCTCGGGACCAGCGCCGCATCATGAAGTGCTGCACACAGGAAACAGGAACACCAGCCCTGGGGCCAAAAGGTTGGTAAAACACAGAGGGGTGGGAGGGATGATGTTGTAGCTGTGTTAATTACTTGGGAGGGAAGGGGAAGGGGAAGGAAGGGAAGGGAAGGGGAGGGAAGGGGAAGGGAAGGGAAGGGAAGGGAAGGGAAGGGAAGGGAAGGGAAGGGAAAAGGAAGAAGGGAAGGGAAGGGAAGGGAAGGGAAGGGAAGGGAAAGGGAAAGGAAGTGGGAAGGGAAGAGGAAAGGAAGAGGGAAGTGAAGGGAAGAAGGAGGGGAAGAAGGAAGCGAAGGGAAGAGGGAAGGGAAGGGGAAAGGAAGAGGGAAGGGAAGGGGAAAGGAAGAGGGAAGGGAAGGGGAAAGCTAAAGTGCTGTCTTCTCAAACAGATGCGAGTCTGAGCCGGGAAGAGCCCCCCAAGTTGAGATGCTCAAGTTGAGATGCGGGTGTTCATTCTGCTGAGCCCTCACTAGGGGCACTGGCAGCTCCTTTAACCCGTTCTCATTGGCAGCTCCGGCGCTGTGTGTGTGCATGCACAGCAGGGAGGCTCTAATGAGTAATTAATGCCAGCCCCGTGTTTGCAAACTGTGGTGGCAAAAGCCCCAGCTGTAGGAAGTTGCACAATGGTATCAGCATGCAGCGGGGTTTTGTGCCACGCAGGCTCATTGCAGGCAAACAGAACCCACAGAGCTTTGTTCTGACTTGTCCTCACAGAGCAGCAAACTCGGGGCTGCCTTCACGCCACGTGGAGAATGGGAATTGTTCTTTGGAATCAGAGTTAAAAGCATTGTAGGAAGTAGTAAATGTCCTGTTGGATTGTATGCAGGAGAAGAGATGCAACCTGCGGTTGGTGGAACTTGCTTGCTTGAACTCAAAGGGACTGTCTTCCAACAGCCAACCTGCCCCTGGGCTCTGCCACAGCTCAGGACACTGAGGACAAAGATCTGCTTGATTGATTCCCTTCCATTCCAGAAGAAAAACAAGGATTTAAAAGCCCTCGTTGCTCACGAACAAATCCCGTGCAGAAGTTTGTGTTTTAGGCATTCTTCTGGGAGAAGACACTTTAGGAACTGTTTGGAAGTCAGCAAATACCGTTTTTCACTGCAAATGCTGCTGTAGCCAGAGATGTTCAGGCCGTTCAAGCATCTGGGCCAGCCCCTTTTTTAGTTAATGCAATCCAGCCTCTCCACTGCTGCACCTCATCCAGTGCACGTTATTAAAAGGCAGCTTCCAGAAAGGCATTTAATCTTGGTCTGAAGTCTTTCAGGGCATGAAGAATTCCCTGCTTCCCAAAGTCATTTGTTCCACTTTCTCTCCTTTAATTCAATAGCCAGCCAGTGCTGGTGACCACCAGCCCCACAGGAGGATCGTGCTGGGGCTGGTGTGGAGCAAGGGCAGGAGCAGTTGGAGTTCAGCTCATGCTCTGCTGTCGTGGCCACGTTGCTCACACCATGAGCTGCCTGTTTCAAGGCACGTTTGCACGAGTGGCTGGGGATGAGGAGGAGGGCAATGGCACGTGGGTTGTTCAGCTGATGTAGAGCTTTGAACCACAATCCCGAGACCACATCTTGCTGCCCCAGTTCCATGGGCTGCATGTTGCTCTTCCCCCTTCCGCATCACTTCTTGCTGTTGTTAGATTGTGTGTCGAGTGGTTTTTAAGCCATATAAAACAATGAGCCAATGTAAAATATTATGATATGATGAATATGATTTTATGTTGTAGTTACCTCTAGGCATTCACTTTCTGATTTCATGGTGATTGTTATAGTTCTTTTATTCCTTTCATAAAGAAAAACATTTAATGTAAAAATAAAAGGAGTCAGGATGGTTTGGGTGAATTGCAGTGCTTGGGGCTTTCCTCCACATGTGCTTAAACGTATGTCTGAACTTGAGTGCAAGAGCCTGAGGAAGAAACTCCTCATCTGAATCCTAGCAAATGCAGCAGGATGACAGCGCAGCAGATAATGGAGTGGCTTCAGGTGAGGACATCATTACCCTCATGTCTTGGGCCCATCTGGATGTATCTGCTCAGTATGGGAGATCCTGAAGGGCCAAACTTGTTCGCAGGTGGGATCTTCGCCTCCAAAATTCCCTGTTGCCACAAACCAGGCAGTGATACGGATGCAGCCAGCGCTGTTGGCCAGGCTGATGCAGTCTGTACCCATCGCTTTGTATCCTGTGGTATGAAATCAAGCAAATGTGATTAAATCAGGTACAGAGGGCTGAGGTGGGCTCTGAGGTTTCAGTGGAAGGGTGGCATTAATCAGTCAGGAGCAGGCTCAGCTCATCCACTCTTACACCATCCTGAGAGGCTCCATCAGGCCTCTTCCACAGATTTCACTCTGTTGCTTGAAAACCCCATCAGGCTTTAGTGGTGTGATTGCTGATGTATTTTAAACCTTCCAGATCCTGTCTGTGGGTAACTGAAGAGCTCGAGCCATTTAAAGGGTCCTTTAGAGCCCTTTGCAGTATGGAGGGTGCACACACAGGGGATGATCAATGGAGTCATGAGCTGCCCAGCACCTCTAAGGAGTGTGAGGACCAGGCTGTCTCCGAGAGGTGCAGGAGGCAGAGAAGCTTCCCTGGAACTATTGGAACAGTCCTGCTCCTGTAGGGGGTCATAGAAACGCAGCCTGGTTTGTGTTAGAAGGGACATTAAAGCTCATCCAGTTCCAACCCCCTGCGCAGAGATGCACCTGAGGAGGAAGCTGTGGCTTCAAAACTTCTAAGAGGCTGTCACAGGCAATAATAAGCCTAATACAAAGCCAATTACTGGCTATTTTTAGAAAGCCTTTGACAGCATCCCCTCTTCCAACCCCTGGATATTTATTCATTATATTCTAAATCAGCTCACTTACCCGGAGGTTGATTCACATGGCACAGGCACATAATGTTATCAGCCCAGCATCAGCGATGGCACTTCATACCCGCCTTCATCCCAGCATTATTGACTGGGGCAGGTTGCAGACAGGTCCCAGACTATCAGTATCAGCAGTGCCTTTAGTGACAATTAAGCATTAAGTGTGCATTGGGCAGGATGACACAAGTTTTGGCAATATTCAGGTCACTGCAAAGTATTGATAGCAAGAAATCCACACGTTCCTGATGGAGCAGGAGCCACCTGGCTGGAAAAACAACTTGTCCCGTGCATAAAGGGAGCATCGAAGTGAGAAAAAGGCAGTCAGACAGGGCGTGCTTCACAACTGAGACACGATGGGGCTGTTGCTTCATCGCTCAGCGGGTGTGTTCGTGTGCACTGGTTGCTGAATGGAATGGCCTTGTTTTATCTCTGCTTTGCAGGGGTGTAGGCAGGCAGGGCAGGAACCAGCAGTGGAAAATCAGGCTGCTCAGCACCAGGCAGTGCTTCATCCCCCCGTACGGGGCATTGGTGGGGTGAAACATTAATCCTGTGCTCCGTTCTGTGCCCCTCACTACAAGAGAGACATTGAGGTGCCAGAGAAGGGAACGGAGCTGGAGCAGGGCCTGGAGCACAAGTGTGATGGGGAAAGGCTGAGGGACCTGAGGGGTTCAGTCTGGAGAAGAGAAGGCTCAGGGGGGACCTGATGGCTCCCTACAACTGCCTGAGAGGAGGATGGAGCCAGGAGGGGCTGGGCTCTGCTCCCAAGGAACAAGGGATGGGACAAGAGGAAACAGCCTCAAGCTGCACCAGGGCAGGTTTAGATGGAGCTGAGGAGCAATTCCTGCCCCACAGGGTGCTCAGGCATTGGAACAGGCTGCCCAGGGCAGGGCTGCAATCACCGTCCCTGCAAGTGTTCACTCAGTGCCATGGGTTAGTGGTGGCCTTGGCACTGCTGGGAATGGTTGGACTGGGTGAGCTTAAAGGGATTTTCCAACCTGGTTAATTCTATGATTCACAGTCAGATTGCTCCTGAGGTTGCCTGTATTTGCGTCACTTGGGCCAGGACTATGGTGGAGAGCCCTGAAGAGGTGCACAGAGCCATGTGTGACCCTCTCCAAACTGCATTTACTCTTGTTTTTTAAAAGCTTTGAGGCCCAGGGCCAATTTCAGGGATGATGCTCTATGTATGTGGTGTAAAGCTAAGACTGCCCTTACACTCTCCCCACTTTGAGGCTATTTTAGGCTTGGAGTTATTTTAACTCGCACCTTTTCTTTGGTGCATAAATTACTCTTATTTAGAATGCTTTATGCATCAGCACACACCGGGTGTAAGGAGACACTCTAAATCATGCTGCCTTACTGCTGAATTTGCCCCCTGGCATCCCATGTTGCTGTGAGCATCATGGCTAAGAGGGTCAATACGTGATTATGGATGTGGTACTCACCCCTTCTCTGCTCTTCTGACCAGTGTGAAGAGTTTGTGATGTCCTGAGAGTTTTTCCCTGGGTTTGGTAGGGAAAGAGCAGAGCCCCCTGAAGCTGCCTTCAGTTGGGTTGCCAAGGGATGCATGGAGGTGTCACCGAGGCTGTACCAACATCCATCCACCATGGGCTGCTGGGGGTGTGAACCAGGCTGGGGCATGGTTCTGCTGCAGGAGAAAGGCTGCAGATGGAGCAGCTGGTATGAGCCATGCCAAGCAGGATTTACTAGCTCAGGAGTGCCTTAACATGGGCCTCTGCTCAACAGAAACTGCTCGTCATCAGAGCTTTCCACTCCCTGCTTGCACCGGCAAAGCACAAACCAGACCAGCCACTCCAGTAACCGGGCTACGATAACAGCTCAGCCTGTCTGGTGCCAAGCAATGCGATGCTCAGAAGCTGCTTACAGCAAGCAGGAACATCTGATGCAAGGCTGGGGAATGAGACAGAATTGCCTGTAAGTGCCAGCAGCATTATGGTGGGGATTGGAAGAGAGAGGTGGATGGGATGTGCAGGGAAAGAAGAGGCAGCTTTGTAGCGCATTGCTGCCATCCCTTGTGCTGCAGCCGCCCCACACACCGTGGTACCTGGCTCTCAGTGTGTCAGGATTGCTGCCAGAAGAGACATCATTTATTGTTCTAGGGATGCAGCAGAGATATCAGGGATGAGCTTCTTGCAATGGTTTGGTTGCTGCAGGCTCTTCTGCTGGGCAGGAGATGAGGGCTGAAGTGGGCTGCCCTGTGCTGGAGCATTCACCCCAGCCTTTTTGATGCTTTGCCCTTGCCAACAAAGCTCCTCATGACCTTGGCCAAGTTAATGAACCTTTCCAGCCCTGCCTGCATAAATACAGAAACAAATGACGTGTGATGCCCTTTAGTATAAGGATCTGTAACCCTGTTTTCCCACCTGGGTGCCCAAGTTACATGCTCCATCTCTCCAGCTCGGTTAATACTTAACCTCTCCTTTGGAGAGGTCTAGAGAGCCACAGCCCTAAGTGTCCATAAGCAGGAAGGCCTGGACACAACCAGCTCAGGCAATGACCCAGCACGAGCCTAACTGCCTTCTTACACTGCTGTTTGCAGTATGTGGAGGGATTTATGTTCAAATCCCAATTTCATGGCATGTAGGAGGGTGCTGCTGGGGGTTGTGGGGCAGCGATGCCGCATTCCTGTGCCTATAGCTGCAATCCCAGTGAGGTTTGGTGGGTTCCCCTAGGACTGCTCCATCACTAACCCAGAACAGGGTGAGAAGGTTAAAGTCGATCTCAAGGTGTATTTGTAAACAAGAGGTGCGTTAGGCTTAAAGTTGCAGTAAAAGCAAAACCAGTAATGGCTTTTAATGCAGGACATGTGTCTCCAAAGAAGCTTGGGGCTGATTCCACACTAAAACCTCCTTTAAAACCCTTTGTGTTCACTTCTGTTTTCCATTCACTAGTTAAAACGTAGCTAGCTGAGCCACATCAGCTCTCCCCTTCAATGTGCACCTTACCTTAAGGTGAAGAGA